CTCTTCCCTCTCCCTCCCTCCTCTTCTCTCTCCCTCTCTCTTCTCTCTCTCTCTCTCTCTCCCTCCCTCCCCTCCTCCCTCTCCCTTCTCTCTCTCTCTCTCTCTCTCTCTCTTCTCTCTCTCTTCTCTCTCTCTCTCTCTCTCTCTCTCTTTTCGTTTATCCGATTGCAATAAAGCAGACGGATTGTGGACCGGGAGGGGGGGGGTCAAGAGAGTCGTGAACCCCTTGTTGCACCGTTGACTAACATTGCGGCTTTTGTGTGTTATCCTTGCTCTTCGGTTTTCGGTTTTGCGGTTTATCGGTTTATCTTATCGAAAGTGTGGATTAGTTATCTTTTCTTGTCTTGTCTGGATACGCCTTCTCGTTCTCTGTTTTTCTCTTTTCCTGGTATGTGGAAACCTCGTCTGTTTCTCTTCCTCCTTCCGTAGATGTGGAAATCTCGTCTTTTTCTTCCTCCTTTCGTAGATGTGGAAACCTCGTCTGTTTCTCTTCCTCCTTCCGTAGATGTAGAAACCTCGTCTGTTTCTTCTCTTCCTCTTTTCGTACAATACACGTGTAAACCTCGCCATGATTTTTTTCTGTATAAATATATATTCATTCTCTCCCTTCCTTTCTTTCTTTGACACTTGTTTGTCTCTTCTCGAGGTCTCGCTATCTTCATAACCTGTAAACAAACCTGAAAGCGGCTGACAAGAACAGAGTATTTGCATAACGTGACGGTGTGTGCATCTGTGTGTGTGTGTGTGCGTGCATGTGTGCGAGCGTGTGAGTGTGTTTGAGACCTGTTTAAAATTCAGCAAAAAATGGATGCGGGTGGGGTGATGACCATGTCGGACTCCTTTATCTTACGTGGCAGTCGTCGAAGTTTTTTCCGAGAATGTTCGGCGCAGTTGGACAGTGCGAGGGAAAGGAATAAAGGTGGTTAACGTGACCTTGGGGAAAAAGAAAAGAATGTGAGGATAATGATGGTGGATTTTAATGGTTTGGGTGAACAATTGTGACGTTTTTGGGTTTTGAAATTAAAAGCATGCTCACTCTCACTCTCACTCATACACACACGTGTGTGCATGCGCACACTCTTACACACACTCGCGCGCGCGCACACATACGCACATGCACACACACACACTCGCACACACACTGGCATTTACATGGACCTACTCAGTATCTCAAGACTTCTATACATAAATATGTCCAGTATATATAAGTAATGCCGGATCAACAAATACCCTAATTACAATGTGTGTTCTTCCACAGGGACGTTTCCCATCGACACCACCAAGACTCGGCTGCAGATCCAAGGAGCCCGCAGCGATGGGGGCCAGATCGTTGCCAAGCGATACAAGGGCATGATCCATGCTCTTCTCAAGATATCGAGTGAGGAAGGTGTCAGGGCATTGTATTTCGGGTAAGTGGATTCTCTTTGTTATCTATGGCTAGTAGGTGGTAGTCTGGAGAGAATTCAGGTGTGTGCCATATCCTAAGAAGTATTGTTCTTTGGGATACCTGAGTACATTCTGTTATAAAATCAGTAATGATTAAAAAAAAAAAAAAAGTGCAGGTGATGGACATTGATTTTCTTATTTTTTCATTACAGTATTGCTCCAGCTGTCCTCCGTCAGGCAACATATGGAACCATCAAGTTTGGCATTTATTACTCCCTGAAACAGATGCTGACAAAAAATCCCAATGAAGAGAGATTGGGCATCAACGTTTTTTGTGCAGTCACTGCAGGTATTGAAATACTCTACATTTGTTACATCAGATGAAGATATATCTGCTTTGTATTTTCCACAATACAGATGTTAAAAGTTATGAGTTAGAAAAATGTCAAAATCTTCAGAATGACATGCAGTTTTGATGGTGTTCTACATCCCTGATGAATTGAAAAAAGAAACTTTATGCACATCAGATGTAGTCAAACACCATATTACCTAGGTAACTGTATGGTAGTGTGGTTGTCATAGCACAGAGAAGTGCTTCGTTCCCAGCTTCAAAACTTAATTATGCACAGCAGTACACAATATGACTGTGGCTGTGCTGGGTACAATAAACATGTTGATGAATACTGATCAAATAGACATTAAGTGGGAGAAGATTGTATTAACCATTTATCAAAAAATGGTAAATCATTCTAAATCAGCATAGAAATTGTGGGATTAACAACTTGTATCAAATAGCTTTTTATAGTGTACTATTAGGTATTTTATTTGACAGTAGACTTTTTTCTCCATCTTATCAGCTGTACTGTAGCCCTCAATATATTGATATCTTTCAGGTGTGGTGTCAAGTGCTATGGCCAACCCCACTGACGTCCTGAAAGTCAGGTTACAGAGTGGGCGTTCCGACTTCAAGGAGAAGTCTCTCCTTCAGGCATTTATTAGTATATATAACCAGGAGGGAATACAGGGCCTATGGAGAGTAAGTTATTTAAAGTTCAGGTTTATGTAACATACACTGTAAAAAAGTCTAATGAAATGCATTGTTTATTGTAAATGATATTTGTTATTCATTTTACATTGACACAGTCAACCAGTTTCATTCATATATCCTTTTTTTTTTTTTGCACAGGGAGTTTGCCCAACGGCGCAAAGAGCAGGGGTCATCGTAGGAGTAGAGCTGCCAATTTACGACATGTGCAAACACTATTTCATCAAGATGAACTTGCTGCCAGATAATACTACAAACCACTTCTTGTAGGTGATCCGATGCTTTTGCCATGTTTTGTGTGATGTGTTTGAAATGACCTTAGGATATATTCAATAGTTAGGTGTTACCTAATGGATGCAGATGAGCATCAGAGGTAGTGATTGTTGCTGACTTTGTTACAATTAGTGTAAACTGTTATGGATGGTGCCAAGTGTCCGCTTGTTTGTTGCACAGACATTTATGTCTTTGATTGGGAAAAAGTTTCTAAAATACTTTTACTGCCCTGGAATGATCAGTTCATTCACACTCTTGATATAGCATGCAGGTTCCTAAGAGTAAAGTAAGGAACCTCTGTTCCATTTGGGAAACTGAAATTCAAAGAAACATTACATACTGATTTCTCACAATTAGATGAAGGGATGATTCTAGTCTTGTATCATTCATTTCATTAGCAATCAAGAACCTCGGCTGGCTTAAAGATGTGTTACCTAGTCACAGTGAGAAGTCCCTGATGATCATCTATCCATGATGAGTGTTAATCAGTGCTAATATGATTTTGTTTTTCACTACCTCATTAACAAATTAACTTCACACTAACTGTAAAACCTGCTTTGTTAGAAATGTAATGATAAATGAAGTGTGAAGTTTACAGTCCATACAGAGTGAAAGACTGGATGAATGAAGCTTCACTAGTTGAATAGTTCGGATAGGTAAAATTAACGTGATTCTTCAATTCAGTGTGGGATACAGAGGTAGACCAAAGTTGGGATAGTGTAAGCTGTAGTGGTTGTAGGAGAATTCTAGGCCTTGTTTGGGCAATTCTTTGAGTAAATCATGGTTAGTGTGTGTCTATTCATATGCTTTTCCTGGTGGTACGTCACAGGCGACCACCTTGGTTTCACGTGTGTCCATTCCAGATGTTTCGCAAACGCATGTCCGGGATGAATCTAGGGTCCTTCGGGCCCTGGCAACGGATCCCAAATCCCCGGTCCCAGACCACTAACCCGGCATGGGTCCCCAGTCCTGTGGGACTGTGGGGCCCTGAGCTGAGGAACCGCCATGATTCTCGGGAGTGACTTGTCCCATGTAACGTTGATAACCTGACCTGTATTGTACCAACCTCATCATTAGTGCCTCACCACCACATCCATTGCCTCCATAATCAATTACACTGTATATTGCTTCTCTTCTCTGGACTTCTTGACTCTAGTTAGCTGTGTCTTGCTCTTCCCCAAGTGTACTTCTTGACAATATTTGATCTTATAATCTTTTGAAGATGCTAAGAAATACATGCTAACTCTCTTTCTCTCTCTACGTGTTTATTTTTTACGTCAATTGTTCTTAGCTCGTATGACCAATGATGGAAGTGTGTTTTGTCTATCCTTGACTACTGATATGAAAGGAATCAATCCAGACTCTACATCATACATTTCAAAATTAAAGTTAGCTTAAGACCTCCTTGTGAACCCTTACTGCAGTATTTCATAGATTTTAAGGAGCTGACTTTGTGTGTGTAGTTGCATTATTCATATGATTGATAAAAACTTTAATTGACTCTGCCTTTCCTTTTACTTGCGTGAGATGTAGATGGATTTTTTGTTTTCTTTTTTCATACATCAACAAGCTGATTTATTTTTTCTTCATCATTCTCTTCATCTTTCATATCATCATCATAATCATAATGAGAATTAAATTATAAATCTGATATGGAAAATAAAAAACAACAACTACAAAAAAAGGAAATGAATTGTTCAATTGGCTGTTTATTGTTTGTCTTCGATACAAACATCTCACTGGCTGATTTATTTTTATCTTTAAGTTTCTTATGCAAATGCTCTTTTCCTTTTTTATACTTTTTTTCCCACTGGAAAGTCTACAGTACATCACCATAAATAATTGCTGAAACTCCTGCTTATGGAAAATGTCATTTGAATATGCAAATAACCGTACTATGCAATGAATGGAAGGTCTTTACACATTTATTGCATATATATATGTCTATTTACCTAAATTTGTATATATATATATATGCAGTATGAAAGAGCATGTTGTCACTGAAACTTTTATGAATTTCTCAAGCCAACTTAAATGCATGCTATAGGCACAGTTTATTTCTTTCCATTGTTAATCAGACAGTGAGAAGTCAAATAAAACTCATATATGGATATCTACAACTAAGGAAAGCACATGTATGAAAAGGAAAAATATGGAAAGCAAAGGAAATACCTCTAAGATATGCAAATACTTTCATGTATGAGGAATAAACTAGTGAATTTATGTGTGTGTAATTCCCTTCATTTTCTTTCATGACAGATCGAGCTTCATATCTAGCCTGGGGGGTGCAGTTGCATCAACGCCTCTGGATGTTGTGAGGGTAAGTATCTCTGCTTGTCTGCTTTTGAGAGTACAATTTGGGTGAGAAATGAGTAGAATCAAGATTAATATTTTGTTCTTTGGTTTATGTCTGTTAATTGAATGCTTTGTATTTACAGAGCAAAGGAGTGTAAATATGATTGTATTTAATCTTCATATCCCCCCACCACTTTTTTTCAGACACGCCTGATGAACCAAAGAAAACTTAAAGCTCCAGCTGCAGTAAGTGGCAATGGTGCTGTTTGTACATCCCCAGTGTATGCTAGCACTGCAGACTGTTTCATACAGGTAACTATTATTATTCTTTTCTTTTCTTTTTTGTTTTCTCTTTTCTTTAATGTGAAAATTACAAAAAGCTCTCGTGTTCTTTAATAATAGTTCTTAAATCTTACTGCACAGAATAATGAAATATATTCAAGCAGGGTTTTTTTTTTTTTTTATTCATAATGTGTTGTGTGATGCAGTGGTAACATTGATGTCTTGCAACTGCTGACCAGTGATCTAACCCCACACTACCTTGGTAACCCTGGCCATTCATTGCACACAGGTGGTAATTTAGGATCACAATAAACAGACCGGGCAGCCATAGTTTGACAGAAGTTCCAAGGGCCTGCAACACCAAACCCTAGATTGTTATTATTATTAATATTATAATTATTATTCATACTACTCACAAACAATTTATGGACTTTTTCTCTCTTTAAGACTGTTAAGGCTGAGGGACCCTTGGCTCTCTATAAGGGCTTTATCCCTACATGGCTGAGACTTGGCCCATGGAACATCATCTTCTTTGTCACCTTCGAGCAACTCAAGAAGTTTTATTAGGTTGTGTAGCAACTCCATTGGACCCATGTGAAGCTCAAGACATCTAATGAAGTTCCTGTTACCTTCCGAAGGTCTATGTGGCATTAAGAAGATCTAATGGGAAACCTGGTAGCATTAAAGTGAAGTGCAGCTTATAATCTTGTTGTGATCTATGTCATAGATGGAGTTCATGGTTCAAAACCATTTCATGAACTAAAGAGCATTTCCTGGAATTTCATGTCTGATGACTTGCATTTGTTCACCTACAGAGTTGTCCACTTGATGAAAGCAATGGACAAAAAAGGGGGGAAAAGTTTTGAAATTAAAAGGGAAGCTCTTTATTCTCATACTTTTTTTTAACATTTGAGACCTTAGCAGTGATTCTTCATAGCAAACACATTGCAAAGTCGTTTTGACAATCTGTATGGAGAAACCTGTCTGTCAGATCTCATATTTCATAAATCAGATCCACATCACATCCATTTCTTTTGTTTTATAATCATATATGTCAGCCTCATTAATATAGGGTGCTCTTGTCAATTTCTCTCCTGTGGAGCAGGGGGACTCTTGTATAATATCAGAATGTCATGTTTGATATTAGTCATTCCAACTAGGAAGATCCTTCACCAGAATGAGATGTTGAAATGGTAATATATTTTATGGAGTTGTTTTTTTGTTTTTTTTTTTCTTCTTCTTAATGGAAGATGTAAATATCTCATTTTAGATCTACTGTTCATAAGGTCTGTTTAAATTACTTCCTGGTTAAATGCAGTTGTGAAATGACTTGTGTGAAGACTGAAAGACTTTTCAGTGACCAAAGATTTGCTATTGATAAATGCAGCAGTGGATCAACCAAGTTTTGACAGTGAGCATTGAATTACTAGGCATACAGCCATTTCACTTGCCTAGTCCTAGCACCAGTTTTTATTTTTGGTGAGATTGGCTTAAGTAGGATTATATGCTTTTATGACCGTTGATGTTCTCTTCAAATTACAGTATTTAAGAAAGTATATTCAAGGAAACTATTGCTCACTTCCAAACTCAATCCTTGCTCTGTGTATATGATTACTTTTGACAAATGTATTGTGTAAATGTGAATTTATCTATTTTTGTAGAAAGTGAACGAGGTGAGATACCGATGAATGAAACGCAGTGAAAAGATCAAAGAGTAATGGTGTGTGATAACTCATTAATTTATTTTGGTCTGGATCTGAAGTAATTGCTTTTGTAAGTTTTTGTTATGTAGGTTGGAGAAATGGAATATTTGCCCTTTATCTACTCTTTCGGAAGTATTTATACATTGTAATACTCAAAAGCAATTGTAAATTATCTTTTTTATGAATTGCAGTTTGTAAGAGTACATGGTGAGTGTTAGGATGTTCAGTAACTTATTCTTCCAAATAAAAGTTATATCAATACCTGTTATTTTTTATTACAGGCCTCCACCCTAAAAAAAAAGTTATTTATATATATTGCTGTGAATTTAGCAGTAACCTTTGTATCAATATTCTGCTAGGAAGTGTTCCCTTTTACTGTATAATATAGCTAAAGTTAAAACTTTCCTTCAGTTTTTGTTGAACAGGAATTTCAAGCTTATGTGCAAAGAGTACCTAACACCTGTGGGATATGTCATCTATTTGTGTATCTTAAAGGCAATTCTAATTATAATGTTACAAGACTATCTGTGATTCTTGATCTTTGTAGATAATCCACCCAATTCATATCTAACTTGATATAAGGAAAGGAAGTATCAAACATTAATGTATAATTTATTAACACTGAATTATTTACAGTCCTACAAAGGTAAAAGAAAAAAGTTCGCTCTCTGCAAAGGAAGGGGAAAAAATAGCATATAATGGTGCATTGCTACTTCTCCCATGACAATCCATAATTGTGTTAATGGCTATCCTCCTTGTAATACCGGAGCCCACAATAGATGCAGTCGTGAGTTCCTGGCTGGTCCTAGAAAGAAAGTTAACAGGTGATAATTGAGGGCAACAATATGTAACCTTACTCAATATAAGAAAACTGATACACTACCAAACAACAATGAAATAGCTCACCAAGTTGATATAGACCCTGGGGTGGCCGAGAGCTCCAGGACCTCCATCACAAGCCACAATGCGAGTGTTTACCGCCTTGGGAGGAACTTCCTTGATCAAGTTGATGGACCACCTCGGATTTGTTTGTCTGGGATTCACCATGAACCTGGCATTTCGGCTATCATTCTCGTCAAATTTCTGAAATGGTTGGAAGAATATATAGGGTTGTAAAGAGCAGTTAAATACTGGGTACATTTGTTTAAAATATTGACTTTCAGGACTTTTCTACGGGCAGTAAAATATACACAGCATAAGAGTAAACCTGCTATATGGAACAGGGAAAGTTTTGTTTAGCATGAATGTAACTTGTCTTCAGACATTTAACTTCAACATTACATAAAATTTAAGAAGTAGCCTTCAACACAATACAAGAATTTTCATGTCATTTTACCATATCTGACTATCATCTAAGTAGGGTCCCAGGTAAACTCTTTCCTTTAGGTTGGTTCAATGCTTAATCATCTGTGAACAGTTCCTGAAGGATAAGAATACTAATGCTGACCCTAAGCCATCATACACACCAAGATACAGAGCACCTTTAGTTCTGACTGTCTTCCACATCACTACAACACTGTCATTGGCCCCTGCACATATCTATATATTTTATTCAATGACTCATGCAACTTCCTTGTCATTCATACTTAAAATTGTTTAACTGTTAAACATGAGCCTAAACACAATTTCAGTTGTATCTTGTCTGCTAATAAATATGGGAGGTCACTGCCTAAGTCTAATGGTAGTCACAGGAATGTCTGGAAACTCTCTCATAACAGGTGCTGGGACAATCTGGTCTCTAAATGTGTCTGGACTATAGCTCAATAGCCATGCAACCATACACTACCTACTCATATTATTTGTCATACTCTGATGTGCAACTGTTTCTATACTTTGCATCTTGATGTGTATGAGGCTTACCATTATTTCTAGCACTTTCTGTTATCAACTTAACAGAATAACAAGGACAGTATGATAGCTTTAATAAAATAGATTGAAATATCTACAGTTTAAGCCTTGCTATCTAATAAAAATCAAATAAAAAAAATGCTTGCTACTTGGCAACTCTTATCACATTCTCAGAAGTAAACACACCTTTTACAACAGTGAGTCAAACTTATTCCTCATGCCTTCACCCTCAACCCTCATATCATATTAGAAGATTTGAGGGAAGGCTGTAAGATAGGGATAACCCAGCTTAGAGGCACATTAACACTAAGAGTGAAGCTACACTGTTCATGCAAAGTGCGCTATGCAAAGCCACATGGTTTTCAATTGCCTTTATGTATTTAAAATAAGCATGTTCACATAGATTGTGCAGTTATGTGCGATATGCTATTTCGCACACATGGCTTGAAGAGTCTCCAAGCCAGTGATTAAAAAAAAAAAAAAGGCTATATTGAAGCATGCACACTTGAATACTCTGGGAATCCCCTGGGCCCCTACCTTCACCCTAATTAGCTAACAGTTTGTCACAGGCTGTGACAGAGTTGCCATATACTGCAAGTACAATCTAGGAGATAATTTGAAATAATTGTTTAAATTTTTCTTCATGATGATATTCATCAAAATTAATCCTTGCCAAATATATTTTGTCAATCCATTTCTTTTTTCTTTTGTTATTCAGTGCTTGAGATAGTATTAAAAGTTCTCAGGTTCACAACAATAACAATATTTATTCCTCTAGGAAAGCTTTCTCTACTCTACATATTTTTCAGCGCTGTAACATTATATACATTTGCTTTCACCACATACCAATATAAAAATAAGCATACTACCAAAACCTACATTCCATTATGTTCCTCAATGTACCTGTTCCTCTTATGATAAAGTTCCCTCCCATGAAGTCTCATGGTTGAAGAAAACAATTACATTTTGGAAGACAATGCGAATTACATTAAGGGAACCGTCCCAGAAAATGGCCATCTTTCCCTACTCATTACATCATAAAAAAATATTGGTTTGAGATAATTGATTGATTCTTTTTGCATGATATAGAGTATAGAATTGTGCTTCATTTTATATATAAAAAAAATTGTTTTTTTTCCCCCTTTCGTTTTCGGTACATCCTAACTACCATAGTTCTTTACTGAATAGTCCCCCCAAAATACTTTCCTAAGGCCATGTAATTGGCCGATTTTTAAATTTCCTTTTTTTTTTTTTTCATTAAAAAATCTATATTTTTTTTATCAAGGCAAAAATTTTAAAATCTGCTAATTACACGGCCTTAGGACTGTGAGGCTCTAGTGAAATCAACAAACTGCATTTGAATCACACGAATATTATGAGTTAGGATGTACCTAAGGTTATGTAAACAAAAACGGAGATACGGCATATTATATTTGGCACCTTGCCAAAGTTCATTATCTCTGTTATTTTTCTCTGAATCTAATGATATTGTATATATAAAAAAAAAATGCTTATTTAGTGTACTTTGCAATGCAATGATTACCAAGTCAATAGGAATTTTCATTTCAATTGGGACGCGATTCTGTAAAGGTATGTAATTTTTTTTTCGTTCGTTGTTCATAAAAGTAGATATTTTCATCTGAAAAGTTTAATAAATGCATTTTATCATAGAGATAACTAATCTAAACCAGATAAAAACCTTTTTTTTTCAATTTTATTTTCATTATTATTTTTTTTTTTTTCCCAAAGAAATGGGGAACTGTGGATGGCAACATTAGTACAAAATCATCCTAATTATAAAGTCCTAGCATGAATACAACATGGTGGTTCAATTTTGAGAATTTTAAAAGCATATGAATTTAGTACATTGAATTCGAGAACTTACGAAAGTCGTTGAATTTTCCCATGCCTCACACAGGGGGGGGGAGGGGAGATGGTCACTGGGTGTTTATAATTTTCGAGGAGGATCATATGTACGTGAACGCACGCACATAAAGTTAAAAAGATTAATCATCCTCATTTAGTAGGCCTAAATTGACTTTTATATCTAAGTAATAAAATATATTAGTTATTCCTCTCATACCATTTTCTTCGATATTGTCAATATTAACAGACTGCAAAAGAAAACAAGTGTAGAGTGGGTGATTAGCCATTTGCACCCATTATTTTTACTAAGAAGTGCATAAAATCATGCAGACGCCTAGGTGTTGTGAGATATTTGCGAATTTATGGTACCTAAGACCTACGGTAACGTCTAAACATATTAATTTTTATTGGGAATGCACGAAACAAGTGCGATAGCTTTTTAAACTCACACAAACAAGCTCAAAATTCCATATAGTTTTTATTTCAGAGCAGGTATTACTGAGTACTATCATCTTCAATATGAAATAATCTGTATCTCGCTTATACATCCGAAGTTTAAAAATCCGACATTTAGGTAACATTCGTATTGAATTAGTCTTTACAACGGTAACTACTAATTTCAAATCAATTCAAATATACCGACTGTTCAAGCGAAATGTAACGGAAATATTTCAATCCTTACTTATAAGGCTATTTTTAAACATTAGTGCTTCGTATGTGATATACGTACAGATTACTTCATAAATGAAACATATTACCAGGGAGTCTCAATCGAAGCATATTTAGCATGTAAAAGGACACAAAACTTATATATTTTTTTAGGTATATTTCACAAAATATTTTGTCATAAATCACAGATATATATTTTTTTCTGATATTGGTATAAAAGTGTTCCTTGAACATTCACAAACTCATACCTATTTGCAATGTCATAATCAAATGCTGTATGCATGATTGCAGCAAGCAGAGGTCTACATAGGTGTACCTGGGCACTCATTATGGACGTACCTACCCATGTGTTCAGCGGGTCTCGTGTCGGCAGCAAGACAACGAGCCATAGCAGGGCTTTAATACTTGTTTGGTAGTTTCCTCATCCATGTACCTATACTATACGCTAGCTAACTCAATTTGACACAAAAATTTTTGCTTGCCCGGGACGGTCCCCTTAATACTACATCACCCTCTATTTATGTATCTGTATTTTGCGGGAGTTTTGGTGTGGAGGGGGGTGTCTCATCCCACAGAGTTAGATCACCCGGGACTCGCCTTAAGAAGACGTGCTCGCAACCCCTGCTCTCATTTCCCTGCCTATGACTGTGATTTTCGACCAGTGTTCCATCGCCTTTTACTGTGCCCTTTATTTCTTGTGGATAAGTAAACCCCTTGGTGAAGTATTGACCTGACAGTAACTTCGACAACGGAACTGGGTGTGCTCGCCCATAGCGGCTGATGAGGTCAGAGTACCATCCTGTGATCGCTCAGGTTTAACATTAATAACACATAATATGAATGCTGTCCAATAAATGGTTTTATGTACTGAAAAGGATCAGAATGAAACAAAATATTTTAAAATTCATATAATCAAAACTTGAGTCCATGTCAGTAGTCCCATTTCCCCTCATCCTCTTCATTCATCCATATCATAACTATGTTCTCTAATTATTCACATGAATGGAAAAATGTTGAAGTCATTATGCCGCAAGTATTGCAGATGAATGTATGAGTATGTAGGCCTACATATGTGTGTGTGTGTGTGGTGTGTGTGTGTTGTGTGTGTGTGTGTGTGTGTGTGTGTGTGTGTGTGTGTGTGTGTGTGTGTGTGTGTGTGTGTGTGTGGTGTGTGTGTGTATGTGTGTGTGTGTGTGTGTGTGTGCGAGTGTGCGTGGCCTTTTCACATACCCCAAGTTGGACATTACTACTAGCAGATTACCAATACTATAATATACTGAGTATAGTTAACCATTTTTTTTTTCTAAAGCAAGTCATGAATATTGCTTGTGCCATCATACTTATTAGTGAATTCTATGAAAACTTTCTATGTAATATTTATGTCTCATGTCATTATGAATTTCCTTTTGGTGTCCTAAAAGTACAAGAGTTAAAATACTCACATAAAGTCAGGCAAGTGTTCCAATTCATCTAATGTCATTTTTGTTGATAAAAACTAGTATTCACACACTCCTTTAACTTCATGTGGTTTTACAAGCTTTTCATCAATTATGGACATTTTAATAAAACAATAGCATTAAGTGGGCAGAATAAGCACCAGGCACCAGGATATATTTCATATATATGTTCAAACATATTAATGAGGGGTCTCCCAACACAATCATTTTTGAAGAGCTGCTGTGAACAAAGTAAACAGACAT